GAACCAGGAACTTCTGACTCCCACTAGTTCCTGGAACTTCCCTCTTTGAGTCTTGGTTTCCCGATCTCCGAAGTGAGGGTAGCATTATTCACTTCTTAGAGTTCTTGGGAAGCTAGAACTAGATATGCACTCACTCATTCATTCATGCATCCATTCATTCAACAAGTATAACTGTGCCTGTCCTCTCAGGGATAGGCAGTGAACAACACAGACACAGCCCTGCCCTTGGGGAGATGCTGGCCGGGGCTGCAGACATTAAACACACAGAATGCATCAAGAGGAAGAGGACAGTCTGGACTGAGGCAAAAGTGCGTGGGGTACCAGGGCCTGGGAGGTGAGGATGAGAGCTTTGCATTTTATTCTAAGAGCATCAGGAGGTGGGGACACATAATCCCATTTCTGTTGGGAAATCCGCTCTCTGGCTGCGGAGGGAAGGAGAGCAGATGGGGGAGGGGGTGGCTGGGTGGACCGCTGACCAGGGGCCTCGGAGAGGAAAGCCGGCTGGAGGTGAGGGGGCACCTTGCCTTTGCCTCCCTTTGCATCTCCTCTCCCGGGGTCTTTCTTGGGCTCTGACTCCAGCCTGCAGGTGCTCTGTAGGAATGAGGAAGTGCCACGCCCAAGAGAGACTGGTGGTATCCAGGTGCCCATGAGTATTATCTCCCTGCCCTCGGAGATTGCTCAGAGCAAGTGAGTGTGTAGAAAAAGGACCCAAGAGCCCTGGGCAGGGGCCCAAAGTACTCTGTCTACTCCTAGCTCCTCCAGTACTCTTTCACATAGGTCACTGGCTTCCCGGTGTCCTCCTCCCCTCATCCGGTATCCATGAGACTAGCACTGAATCCGGGCTGGATTTAAGTCCAGGTAGCATTTTACTGTGGAAAGACCCCAGCTTTGGGGTCAGACAAGCTTGGGCTAGAATCCTGGATCCTGTGTTTGAGGCTATGTGGCCTGACGCTGGCTACTTTGCTTCTGGAAGCCCGCGGCTGGCTAGAGGCCCACACTTTGAGAACCAGTGCCCTAGAAAAGCACCCCCGGGGGGAGGAAGACCTCTGATTCGCTCATTGCCGTAGCCCAAGCAGGGCTGGCACACAGCAGTTCCTTGCTGGGTGTCTGGGGAGACTGGGCTCGAGTGGTTTGTTTTGGCGATGGCAGAAGTGGGTCGAGGGTGGGTGTGGGCGGCGGGGTGTTGGCAACAAACAGATCAGGAGGGGGGTAGGGCTTCTAATGCCAGGTGAGGAGCTGGGCCTCATGGTAGCTGAACGTGGTCCCCAGAGACGTCCACACCCTCATCGCTGGAGCCTGGGCACGTTTCCTTATGTGGCAAAAAGGAACTTCGCAGATGTGATTAAGTCAAGGAATCTGGGATGGGGAGATTATCCTGATGGACCCTAAATATAGTCACAAGAGCCCTTATAAGAGAGAGGCAGGAGATCTGGCTACAGATGGGAGAAGGAGGCAAGTGGGGCAAGTGATGACAGAGAGGGGTCGTGAGCCAAGGAGAGTAGCTGGAAGTGGATTCTCCTCCGAAGTCTCCAGGAGCAACCAGCCCCATCAACACCTTGATCCCAGACCTCCCAAACTGTAAGAGAATCACTCTGTGTTGTGTTCAGCCACCACGTTTGAGGTCCTCTGCTACAGAAGCCCTAGGAAACGGCCGCAGACCCCTCTATCCAGGAAGAACAGTGGAGGCCACTGAGCGGGGTGGGGCAGCACAGGGGGAGAGGCGACGAGGGTGGGGTGAAGGCAACCAATCAGGGGCAGGAAAGGGCACACAGACGGAAGGACCGGCCAGCTGGGCCACTCCTTCCTAGAGTCCTCCCCTGGCTGGCACCCTGGCCGACTGTGTCCCTCCCTTCCCCAAGGGCAGGCCCAGGTAGTCCCTTCAGAATTCTCAGCTCAGAGCAACACCTCCACCCACCTCAGTACTGATAAGGACCTTTGGTCAGGTCAGTGCTGTCCCCAGACAGAGAGCAGGAAGGACATGCTATCGGTCATCAGGGAAGCTGGGAGCCAACCTTATGGAGGGCCACCCGAGGCCCTGATACCCTGGCAATCTCGGTGTGAAATTCAACCTCTGGCTGCTCTTGGCCTCCTACACCCCCAGGTCCCCACCGAGGTGTGAAGCCCTCCCGGCAGTTTGCCATCCTCCTCTGCCAAACCCCTCTGCGCACCGTTTCCAAGGCCTGGAGAACAGAGCGTGGCCACAGCCACACAGAATATGTGCTCTGAAGGCCCTGGTTCTGTGGCCGTTGTGTGTGACCCAGGCAGTCACAGCCTCTCAGCTGGCTTCAGCTTCACAGTCCCTCCCGCAGGGTGGCTGTGAAGATCAGAAGAGAAGGTTGGCATTCATACTCCACGGGGTGTCCAGCACCCCAAGGGCAGCCAATAATGGGGCTGCTATCTCTACTGCCACTCAGAATGTGGCTTTGGCTGACACACTAGCTTGTGTCACTTGGGCAATTTACTTAACTTTCTCGAGCCTCAGTTTTCCCATCTGTAAAGTGGAGATTAGACAAGCACCTACTTCATAAGGTTGTGGGAAACGTGAAATGAGGTCACAAGTCCAGAAGTACCACCCTGGATGAATACGGTCTTTCTCGTCCGCATTTAAGGCTCAGCTCAGAGGTCCACTCCCTGGGACGGGCTCCATGCACCACCTCATCTAGGCACCCAGCACACTGAGTTGCAATTCTTGGCATGTGCTGGTCTGAACCACTGCCCGTCTATTCTTCAACTAGACCATGAGCAATTACAGGTGGTGAGAGTGATGCTTGGGGTGGGGGAAGGGGAGCTTGCTTTATGTCCCATTGCACCCTTAGCACCAGTGCAGCACAAGGGTGGGGACAGGATGCCCACAGGACGACTACACATAGAAACTGACAAACATGTAAAACTGGCACCCACTGGATGCCCAGTGAGTGTCAGCTGCTGTTGCTGAGTACTTACTGAATACTGTTCCTTAAGAATTAGGGGTGAAGGCAGCCTATTAACCAGGGGGTCACACAGATAAGAGCAGTGGCTAGTGGCATGCACGACTACACTGAATCGTTCAATGGGCTTCTACAGGGTCTGTGTCCTTCTACAGCGTCTATGCTCTGTGCTTTGTTCTTTGCTTCATGAGCTAAATTAGCTTTGTGCTCGGGGGTGCTTCCTGAATGAGGTCAGAGGGAGCCTTACCCATCAGGGCCAGATGTGGAAGTCTTCAGATCTACATTTTGGAGAGACATTGCTGGGTGGTTTGGCGGATGGATTTGAGATGGAGAGTCTCAAGGTTAGGAGGCTGGAGCAGGAGCAGTAAGGCTTGTTCCAGCAGACGAGCAGTGGGGGGGTGGAGGGCCCAGGACCCAAGTCTACGGAGGACCCTCCACACCTGGCTGCTGCCAGGACCCAAGGGAATATGAGGCCCAGAGGTGTTGGGCAGTTTTGCTCCCACAACATTCCATAGGGATCAGAGCCCAGAGAATGTGGGTCTGCGGCACCTGTCCAAGCTTTTCTCAAGTCTGAGGCTCAATTATTGAAAGGAGACAAGTGTCCCATTGGGGTCATAGAGGCTGTTCACATCTCCTGGCTCACATATGCATCAGGCAACCCTGGGAGGTGAGTAAGGCAGGCTGCATGAGGACACACCCCACACTCTACGCAATGAGGAGACTGAAGCCCAAGAGGGACAGGGACTTGCTCAAACTACAGAGTCAATGAGGACAAAGGTGAGACTGGGGCTATGCAATTGACTTTCCATGCCTGTTCATCTCAATAAATGCCCAAAATGTCACTTCTGCATCTCTGGTGCTCAGCACAGCTCCAGGCATGTGAGGGGAAATTGATAAATGTTTGCAGATAAATGGATAGATGGATGGATGGATGGATGTATAGGATGGATGGATGGATGGATGGATGGATGGATGGATGGATGGGTCAGTCACATAGACCAGCATTCTGGCATGGTCTGTTGGAAGAGTAAGGAAAGCAACGTCTATTGAGCACTGCTATGTGCCAGGTGTTCTATCAGTGCCCATTCATTCACCCCTCTCACCAGCTAGACCTACCCAGACCTGTAAACACCGTCTCCATGCAGTGGGTGAGCTTCCTCAGTGCCACTCACGTGTTTGGTGGGGGTTTCCCTTAATACCCCGCATTGGCTTTGCCACCAGTGCATTTATCTGCATCTCATTCTGATCCTGTTTATCTTTTTGGCCTGGATACCTCTTGGAGGTAGAATTCTGGGGTGTCCTCTCTCTTGCCTCTTCTGTACCTCAAACATCCTATGCTCTCAGAGCCTATTTTTTAATAGCCTCCTAGATTTTGCTCTATTCCCTTCTCCTCTCTTCATGGGCCAGTGCCACATCCCTCTTCACTGATGGCCCCTTCTCATCTTTCTGGTCCACATTTTACAGGGAACCAGAGCTCTCTATCCAAAGCACAGAACTGCCTGGGTTACCCCCCACCCTTGCTTCTAATCCTCCATCTTCCCCCTAGACCTATGGTACAAGGCCCAAGCTCCTAACCTGACCTTCAAGGCTCTGTCTTCCCAACTTGGCCAGTCCTCTTTCTCCTCTGACCTGAGTGTCCCTAGCATAAGAGCTAGTGCATAACAGATGCTCAATGAATGTGGATTGAGCTGGGTTTGTGGTTACTCCCCAGGCGACAGCATCAGTGCATGGCCATTTGAAGGTTGTCCTGGAGAGCTTGGGTGAATACTTCAAATGACTAACCAACTGGCAGAGATGGACTTCAAACTTAGGACTCCTGACTATAAGGACAATGTAGCCAGAAAAAAGGGCCCGCAAGTTCTAGAGTCAGAGGACATCTGTCCAAGTACGAGATTCTACCTCAGGGGGATTTGGGAGGATGGAACAACACAAAGTTTGCAAAGTGCTCGCGAAGAGTTCCCAGCACAGAATGTTCAACCAGCACCTGGTGAACAGCCACCACCTTAACAGTTACCATTAGTGGGGCCCCCTCCCCATGCACTTCTTCTGCATACAAATGGGCTGGGTAGTTACCTGTCTGTGGCTCCTTGAGTGGCTGTGACCTCTGTCCCACTCCACACCTGGAGCTTCAGGGGCTTCTCCTCCTTCCGTATGGGTTCTCGGCTTTGATTCCTGGCCAGCTGAGAGCTGCTGGACCTCAGAGTTGTTTCATGGGCATTGTGGCTGGAAGGTCTGCAGCGGAAGAGCTGCTGGTATGCCATGCGGAAGTCTCTGTTCAGTGTGGCATACAGGATGGGGTTTAGGGCCGAGTTGGCATAGCCCAGCCACAAAACAACAGCTTCAAAGGCCTCATTGATGGCATCATCCCCTCTCAGCCCACGGTAAACAAACACAGTAAAATAAGGGAACCAGCAGACAATGAAGGCTCCCATCACGGCGGCCAGTGTCACTGTGGCTTTGTGCTCCCCAATGGTGGCTGCCTTCCAGGAGCCGATATGATGGATCCTCTTGGCCTGATCCCGGGCAATCTTGAAAATGCGGTAGTAGGTGATGCACATGACCAAGAGAGGCAAGTAGAAGGTGACCAGCCCATCCACCAAGCCATACACCAAGTTGACCTGGACTTTGCACTTGGGGATGGTGTGATTGAAACCACTGGTCTCATTCCTGCTGTTCCACCCCAGATGGATAGACAGAAAGGACAGGGTGATGGAAATGACCCAAATTAAGACAAGAGAGACAGCGACCCGGACTGGGGTGACCAGCACGGGGTAGCGCAGGGGGTCTGTGACAGCGCAGTACCGGTCGAGTCTGATCATGAAGAGGTTGAGGATGGAGGCCGTGCAGAGCATCACATCCAGGCTGGTATAGATATTGCAGAAGACCTTGCCGAAGCTCCACTTGCAGGAGAGCTGGTAGAAGGCTGAGAAGGGCAGCACCAGGAGGCCAAGGAGCAGGTCAGTGATGGCCAAAGACACGATGTAGCAGTTGGTCAGACTGCGGAGCCGGCGGTTTAGGCCCACAGCCAGGCAGACCACCACGTTGCCGGCAATGGTGATGAGGATGAGGACAGTGAGGACCACGCTGACAGTGATCCTACAAGGGGGAGAGTCCAGACAAAAGGAAGAGGCTGTGCCGTTAGGTACCATCCTGGAACCTTACGGCTCCTTCCTCTGCCCACAGCTCCTGGCCACTTCCCGTCCAGCTCCCCAGTGTGCCAATTCTGTCAATCACTGGGCTCTAGGCTTCCGGTAGAGTCAAAAGAAAATGTTCAAACATGGGGAGGCTACAATGACTGCTGCAGAGCTGTTTTTCTAGAAATAAATAAAGCAGTCTCCTAGGAGGTATTGGGCATGAATATGAATGAAGAAGAGCAAAAGGAGAGAGAAGGTTCTTGGTTCAAATTCCAGTCCTCAAATTACCCCCTGCAGAGCCAGCTTCCTCCAAGGACTGAAGCAGGTCTCCACTCTCCAGGTGTGCATAGAGACTGAGGCACTGGAGCACGTGTCTGGAGGTGGCTTTGGTTTTATGCAGGAGAGATCATGTGGAGATGTGGCCACATCCTTCTCCATAGCTGATGGGTGCTCCCAACCATGTGAGGGAGGTCAAGGACTGCTGCGTCTGCCTCTTAGGAGCACTGGAGAACAGGAGCTGAAAACGCAAGGGTCAGGTGTTGAACACTTGAAATCAGACTAAGAGCGTGACTGACCCAAGATGAATCCTTCTAGATCTCCCTGTGAGACTCCAGGAGGCACAGGGCTAATGTGGACACCTTTCCTTAGGAAGGACCGAGGCAATCGGGATACACAGCAGGAGGAGGAAGGGAGGCAGGGTGCGAGGGACTGGACCACTGTGTCACCTCCTGAGATACGGTTGGAGTGGTCGGGCTATTTATTGGAGAAAGAAAGAATGAGACACAGACTCTAGACACCCCACCCCCACCCCAACAGGGACTGCATCTGCTGTTCACTGCTGGTTCCCAGTGCCTGTCCCCACGGGGAGGCATTAAGCATCTGATGGATAAATGATAAACTGAATGAATAAATAAGCAAATGTAATGAATTTCCTCATAAAGCACTGAGAACTTGACGCTGTTGGTTTTACAAAATGTCACCATACAGTAAACCAGGAATTGACAGAGGTTCTCAGGAGAAGGCCAGGTAGTAAATATTTTCTGCTCTGCAGCCCCCAAGGTCTCTGCTGCAATTCCTCAGCTCTGTCACTGTGGCACGAGGGCACCTACACAGACAACGTGCAAATGAATGAGTGTGGCTGTGCTCCCATGAGGCTTTGCTATGGATGCTGATATTAGAATTTCACATAATTTTCACGTATCACAAAATGTTGTTCCTCTTTTCATTTTTTCTAACTCTTTAAAGAAAGTTTTTTAATATTTATTTTTGAGAGAGAGAGAGAGAGAGAATGAGCACATGAGCAGGGGAGGGTCAGAGAGAGAGGGAGACACAGAATCTGAAGCAGGCTCCAGGCTCTGTGCTGACAGCTAGAACCCACGAACTGTGAGATCATGACCTGAGCCAAAGTCGGACGCTTAACCAGCTGAGCCACCCAGGCGCCCCTTCTAACTCTTTTTAAAAACGATTTCCAAACTATTTAAAAGTGTAAAAGCCATCCTTAGCTCACAGGTTGCACAAAACTGGGCACAGGGCAAGAATTAGCCTGCTGTCATAGTTTGCCAGAGGCACCCTCTGTCCACACTCGCTCTGAACATCAGTCTAAATCTTAACTTTTCTTATTGGGCAGAACATGCGGTCGGTCAGCCAGCACAGAGCTCACTCAGTCTCTCCAATGGCTACACAGCAGCTCATGGGGTGGCTGGCCAGGGTTTATTCTATTATGCCCTTATCACGAGTATTTTGGTAGTTTCCAGTTCCTTCCTCTCTCCCTCCCATCCTTCCACCTATACCAATGCAAACAGCACTTCAGCAGAATGGCTGCACACACAATACTTCCTAGTTAAATCCCAGAGATCCCCTCCTCCTGGTGGTATCCTAGGATTTCAACTGAGGAAACACAGCTAAGGCCCTGCTGATTCCCTTTCACAGAAGCTGATCCTGCTTTTCCAGACAGCAGCTAGCAACAATCTACTGCGACCTGGGGTGTGCAGAAATCAAGCTGACAGTACACCCCCTCTCAGAAGCAAGCTAATCGCCATGTGACAGAAATTAAGCCTCTCTTAGGCTCTGGCCTGGAGCGGTTTTGCAACCTGAATATGAGAAGCATCATTTAATCGTAACCACCGTGTTGGTGCAGAGATCACGGCTCCTGGCCACCTTCTGCCACTCCAGCTGGTTCAACCACCAGGCCTTGCGAGCTGGGCCTCTGGGTATTATTTTTAGAAGATCTTTTCATTACATAAATAACATAAGCAGCATGGCTCTCACTGGTACATTTAATTAACTGTGTGTGGGGGGGGACCGCCACAGAGCTATCTTTTTGAGGATCCCTAGTTCCGAAAGCTATTTTCTTTCTGAGTTTCTTAACAGGTATAGGTATTGGTGCCCTTGGACCAACGTTTCCGTTAATGTTTGGGGTTTTCAAATCTGAACTGCAGCAGCCTCTCATATCATTCAAAATTCATCTTCCCTCCCTTCTCCTTTCCTTCTCTTCCTCCTGTCTCTTCTTTCTAGCAAATATTTCTTTGAGAACTCAACAACATTGGCAAATGCTGTGGGTGCTGGGGGCACAATGATGAACAGAGCAGCGGCAGTTGCCTTTTTCATGATGTTTCAAAGAAGAACCACTCTGATGCATTTCTATTTTGCAGCCCAGGTCCCAGAAGTTTCTGGCGACTTTTCACGAAGGCAGGAGCTTTTGCACGGAGCTTAATCCAACCCATGCCTTCTGGGTAGAGTGACTGCCCTCGAGAACCACGGCGTCACAAGATCGTTGTCTTTATTTTCATCATCACAGCTAACATAAAAAACACTTGCTTGAACTTTCCTTTCAAACTTCCGAAGTAATGACATACTTATTGTAGTAAACCAAGTATGCTGACGTATACAGGAAGGGCCAGCTGTTTGAGCTATCACACCCAGACTCTCACGCACAGAAGGTGCTTGTTGCTGACTGTTTGACCTGATGGGGGCCTTCCGTTCTTCCTCTGTGCTTCTACGTGTACTCAGGCACACATATCACACATGACTGAGCAACTTTCTTTCCCTAATTTCTTCATTGTATAAGGATACCCCTTTAGGTCACAGACCTAATGCATTCTTTTGAGAACCTATGCTGTGACAATACAGCCTCTACCATCTGTGCTAGTGGGTTTGCAAGCAGCAAAAAGCAGGAAACAATCAGAGTGTCCAGCAAATGGGGACAGCTCGAGGAATCACAGCACCTCCTTCCTGTAGGATAGCCCTGGGCATGGTGAGATCACATATTAAATGAAATATCATTTCATCCTCACAATAACCCAAGAATGAGGGAAATCACTGCTCCATTTAATGTCTGAGAGAGTGAGGCTCAGAGGCCAAGTGATGTCATGGACCTAGCAAGTAAGCAGAGAGCCTGGATTCAAACTCAGCTCACACCCCTCTAGCCTGCCTTCATGCCTGTACGTTGCTCAGGCTTCGACCCATCCTTCCAACTGGGTCTCACCAAACACGCTTGCACTTGTCCTCTGACTTGGCCATTCAGGCAGCCCAGCCTGCATCTCTCCGAATGGATTACCCCTTCTCACACCTGCCTTTGCTGTCTCCCTCACCTGGAGCCCTGCTCGCTCCTGTATTCACTTTAACTACTCTCCTTTCAAGGCACCGCTCAAATACCCTGGAGCTTTCCTGAATGCCTGTACTTTGTACCGAGCTATACCGTTGGCACCCGCTGCCTTATAGTGTTAATATGGCTTTGTGTGTGCCCTCCCCACAGGGCCTGGATCTTGCCCACCTTTCTCCACCCCATTCACCCATTCATCCATCCAACCATTCACCCATCCATCCATCCATCCATCAATCCACCTATCCACCTATCAACCTATCTATCCATCCAACATTTTCTATTGTCTATATAACAGGAGAGGTACAGGGTATATGGAGTATGTGAGTGTGTACATGTGTGAGTGCATGCGCGCGCGCACGTATGTGTGGTTTCTCTGCCTTGGAAATCTACATGCACTCACCTTGGAATTCAATGGGTCTGGTTAGCATCTGATGGATATGTGAAAATGGGCCCATTTTTCCCAGTATTTTATGGCGAAAATTTTCACACACACAAAGTTGAAAAAACAACCCAATGTACATTAGATCTTATCCAACTCTCTGTGAAGATCAGGTAATCATCTGTTCTACCTCTCGTTCTGTGTGTGTGTGTGTGTGTGTGTGTGTGTGTGTGAAAATTAGATCAAAGTCATTAAAAAAGGCTTCAGCCACTTCCTCTACTCATCGTGCAGGCTGACCACGGATGTTAACAGCTGCAAGTCCCATGGCTTCCTCTCCTGAACTTTGTCTTAATAGCCTTTGAAAAGGCACCTTTGGGAGAACCTGCTCAGGGTGGCAGTACCCTGCGCTGTCCCCGGGGAGGCTTCTGACATTTACCTGCAGCGATCACCTAGCAGAGGGATTCATAATAAAGAGTGAGGCTCTGCAGGGCCGTGCTGGTCAATTAGCCCTCCAGAGCAGCCCTGGCCCAGCATGATAAATGCACTCACCGTACTCTCTGATGTCTTTCAAACCCACTGTGCTGGGCTCTGTGCGGGAGGAGGGCTGATTGCTCTCCATTACGAGCTCCGGTTGGTCTCTAAGTTTAGATCCTTGATGTGACATTCAAGGTTCTTCATGACCTGGTTCTGTCTTCTCTCTTTAGTCTCAGCTTCTGTCTGCCATATGCACTTTCCTGTCCAGGACAACACTTTGAGAAATACAGTGCAGGTGACGTTGAATTCCTCCTGGGTTTGAAAGTCCCAGGCCCATTCTGACTCAGTGCCTTTGCATCTGCTGTTCCCATTGGCTGGAATGCCCCTCCTCTCTTCTATTGCCTGGTGAACCCTCATTCTTCCTTCAAGACCTGGCCTCCTCCACTATCTCGTCCAGGAAGTCCAGAGGTATTTGTTCTGCCCCCTCATTTCAACCTCCTACTTACACCCACCTCTAGTACAGGCTTGTGCTTTCTGGGGTGCACTGGGTAGGATGCTGAGTTTTCAGTGTCCCCGGAAAACTCTCCTTCTAGGGGGTCCTTGGTGATTCAGCATCAGAATATGTCTCCTCAGGAACCGAGTTGTGGTGGGTGGGAAAAAGAATATCCTTTCCCTC